AAAGTTGTTCTCACACTATCATAAAAAAATTCAATCTCATGAGAACTCAAATGTGTATATATATATATATATATATATATATATATATATATATATACTAGAAAAGTACTGGAGAAATACAGCGAGATACATCTTTATCTTAATGTTTTTTTTTTTTGTCTTTGTTGATATAATATGGTTTATACGGTTTTGAGAAAGATAATGTTTTTACTTTTGAATAAAGTTAAATTTGAAGATATCATAAAAATTTGAAAAAATATATAGATATTAATATCAAATTAACTATTTAAAAGTTCTCGTTTTTTTTATAATTTCTTTAATTCAAATTTTTATTATAATTTAATCTAGGTTTTAATAGGGAAGTAATTTATTTTTGATTTAACAATATAATTTTTATAAAAATAATGATTCTGTTAGAACTCAATAATTATCCTAATTATATTTTAGATTTTTTATATGTAAAATGATATGTTTATCTTGTATTTGATTATGTTTATCTGTAGTTAGTTGTACGAATTAAAAAAATGGAGTTTAATAAGTTGTACCTACGCATAATTTATTTGTAATCTTAAATTATAAGTAATATGTATTCACAAATAGTACTTCATGCATAAATATATGATTTTTAAGAGTTTTTATCAAATGCTATATAATATAGTATATATATATATATATATATATATGTGTGTGTGTGTGTATAAATAAATGTATGTGTATACACTGTATACATATATAATGTATAATAATAAAAGGGGACACGACAAAACATGAGATTATATAACGTATATATCAGTAATAAAATTGATAAACTTAATAACCTCAGACCCGTTTTAGTAAATAGTTAAAAGTTGGGTATAACAAACTGTGATTAAAGAAAACAAATTTCTAGAAGTCCAACTAAACTGTGACTACATAAAATAATGTTTTATCAGTCTTTTAATATCTCGACGACTTGTCACTTTATGCCCACTCAGGTACATATATGACTTGTGAGTTTTATCAGTATATTGTGCACATGATTTCCTGTCATATTATGCCCTCGGTGTCCCAAGTCTATGCATCCGCATACACACTCTATAAATAAAACGCTATCGTTATGATAACTATAAATTCATGTTATGCAATTCTTTCCTGAAAGGATATATACTGTTATTGCAATATCATGCTATGCGATTTTTTATATAAATGTTAATATATTCTTTAAAACCAGTCGTTTAACGTGTAAATCATACCTCAAATCTGTTGATTTCTATTCAGTAGTTCATGTTACTTTATGCTTCCTAAACCAAAAAAAACTCGATAAATTCCTTAAAAAAATCTAAAACAGTTATTATCAAAACAATATATGATTAACTAGTTAATTATAATTAATTGATAGAAGTTAATAATGAAGTAGGGGCTTTTTGACAGTTGCTGAATGGTTTGATGCAGAATGATTAAGTGGTCAGAATGATTAAGAGGTTATGTGCAAAATGAAATATAGTTGTTTACAATGAAATTAGGGTGCTGAATGGTTAAGGGAGGCCCATGATACAAAATTATTCAGAGTGTTTTAGAACCATTAAGTGACAGACTTTTTTTTTATCAAACAAGATTTAACTCTTAAAAATTCAAAAACTGCATCTTAATGAAACTATTAAGAGGTAAACAAACAATCTCTTATATATCTAATAAAAATATTTTTTATAATGATTTTTTAAAAAAAATACTGATTTTAAATAAAAAAAAAGATAATAATAATATTTAAAGAAGGCCACCAAATTGCCCCCAACAAACTCAAGGCCCCACTTTGCTTTAATGGATGAGACTCACCAAACTCTCTAATGAGTGGGATGCCTTAATTTTAACTTCCACCAAATTTTGGTAGATATTTAATCTTAAAATACAAATCTTTTAATCAGTATAACTTAACTAAATCAGATATTTATAGAAATTATCAGAGTTTATTTACCGGTTTGACACCGATATAAGCTGTTTATCCAAACACTCAAAAGTGTTGATTATCGGTTTGGCACACGTATAAGTTGTTTATCCAAACACTAAAATGTGCTTATTACCGGTGTCACGCCAGAATATGTCAATAAGTTGTTTTTACAAGCAATCCCGAACGCCCCTTAATTATTTATACAATTTAAAAAAGATGAAAACATGATGTTGATGGAACATCCAAAAGCTGATTTGATTACGTTAACATGTTATCAAACTCGTTTAAAATATCAGTTTCATTTTATTTAGTTTATATTATGAAAAAAAGTTACAGATATAAAACAAAAATATAAAAGAAACAATCACGAAATAATATCTGCTTCCGTTTTCAAAATCCAAAAAATACTTAGTTTTAGAAATATACAATTATTATACGTTTTTAATTAGTTAAATGACAATTTTACCCTTAATACTTGAATAACTGATGAATTTATTCGTTCTATAACTGATGGTAGAATTAAAAACTAAGCACTTGCTCTTCAAAATAAATGATTACTTTTAGATCGAATGAAAATAAGAACGTAGACATTTTTTTCAGAGACTTGGAAGGAAGGGGATGTTTATCACGTGAGATGGCAAATGCTGATAATCTTACTAGTAAATGAGAGAGAAGACTCTTACCTGGTAACCATTTACCGGGTTAAAGACGTTTGTCAATAATCCATTTTGATGGTTGAGAATGTTATTAAATAAGTGGGGGCGAATCTATGTATGTCCGAGTGGGCTCTCGTGCACCTGCTCAACTTAATTTCGCAGGTAGAATCTTTTTTTATGTATGAAAAGGTGCATCCACTAAATTTTGAGAGGTGTTCCATATATTAGAAAATATTAGAAACATCAACCAAAAAATTGAAAAAGTACATCGAAATCAACCAAAAAACTTTAGAACTCTATCGAGACAGTGGAATGTGATTGCAACAAAGCATAACAGATGACTTTACGAGGCTTTGAGAGTTTGATCCACCTTTAAGAGTGCATCTGGTATGCAGACAGAATAGAACAGAACAGGTATGACAGAATGGGACAAAACGTGACATAATAGGACATAACAACTGTTTCAGCATTTGGTAAGATAGAACTGAACATGACAGAATAAAACATATAAAATGACCAATTTATCTTGATGATGAGTTTATATATTTTGATTAACTATGTAATTTATTAAATTCTAATAAAATAAATATTTTTATAACAAATATGTCATTAGAAAGTTTCGTCAAAATGATTAAAATGACATCAAAATAAAATTTTAAAAGAAATAAAAAGTTATGTAGTTTTCAATTTTTATTTTTATGCCTTTTTATATTGTTTTTTATTATTAATATTTAATAAATTACATAAATTAATCAATTATAGAAACTGCATAAAAATAATATTTTGAAAACAGTAAAGATAAAATTTAGAGAACGAATAAAATGTAAAGAGAAAGACGTATTTGATGTTTAAAAAGATAATTAAGTTTTATTATGAGGTTATGTTAGCAGAACATAAATCCCTTCCACCTTGTTCCATTGGGTGGGGTTGGAGTATACTTGTTTCACTTTGTTCCTGTCTGTTACACATAAGGTAGTATTTGGTATGCATACATGATTGGACATGACAGAACTAGACATGACATAACAAAAGAGTAGACTAGACAACTGGACATGACTGAACAGAACAAGTGTCTGACTGATGTTTAGTACGACTACAATTGGACATGACATAACTAGACAAGTTGCTCCCAAAAGTTATTTTATGATTTTATATATCATATAATAGCTATAATTAACACAAGTAAAGTAAATAATTTAACTTATAAGCATTTTTACACAATTTTCATATACATGAATATAAAACAATACCAAATTTGAATGCATTTTTTTAATAATTGATGGTAGTTTTAAAAAACCTGATTCATGCAAATGATAATTTGTGTTTTATTCGGTTTGGAAGATCTTTATCAATTGGTGAAGACGTGATGAAGATTGTTGCGACAACAATGGTTGTGAAGGTAGAATCTTTGATAATTGGTAGACGATATTGGTTGTGGAGGACGAGAAGATGGTGGATAATAGTGGTTGTGGCGGTCGACAGTGTTAGAGGAGGTAGTTGTGGTTTATGTGATGGAGGTAGGTGTGATGGTGGCCGACGATACTAGCGGTGGTGGAGATGGACGGTTGTGGTTATGGAGGACGTGAAAATAATAGATAGTAGTAGTGGTAGCCGATAGTGGTGGTCGGCGGTGGTGGTGGGGGGCAATGGTAATGGAAGCTGATGGTGGAGATGAGGTGGCCCATGGTGGTTGCAATGAACAATGTTGCTCGGTGGTGGAGTAGGTTGTAGTAGAAGAGAAGGTGAAGGTGGCCAACGGTGGTGGTGGTGGTGGTCGATGGGCGAAGATGGTTGTGGAGGTGGTGGAGGAGGTTGTTGTAGTAGAAGATAAAGTGGAGGTGACCAACGGTGGTAGTGGCGATGGACGGTGGTGGTCAATGGTGGTTGTGGATGTGGCAGAGGCGGCTAACGGTGGCTACCAATGGTGGCAACTGCTGTAATTAGGGATGATGACCGCTAAAACAAATACTATGTTAAGGTTATATATCAAATGAAAGTTAATAGTAATATTTTAGTTTACGTCTCATTATTGTCCAATCTTGTTCCATCTATTTTGGTGGAACAAGAAAAAGTTTTTTTTTGTCTCATACAGTCCCAGTCTTGTCCACTCCCATGTTGTACCAAACGTGAGACAATGAGTTTTTGTCCTGTCCCATTAGCGTCAAAGACAGTGAGTTTTGTCCCGTCCTATCTCATATACCAAATGCAGCCTAAAAGTTCCGTCAAACATGAAATAACGATTTTTGTTTTGTCTTGTAAAACGCACCCTAAAACTCGTGAACCGTATTAATGCTTTAGTAAACCGTAGATACCGAATGAAAATGTGTACGTTAATCTGAATTTTAGAATTTCAGCTCTGGAAAAAGAACAATCGTTAGGATGAATTGGTGTAGTGACCAAATGCATAACGATTTCCTTTTCCCGTCTTCCATCGTCAACTCCCAAGTGAAAAACCCACGTGGTTCATCCAGTCACAATCGCCGCCGGTACACGTCATTTCACGGTAATTCTTCCGTCATAACTTCCGTGCATGGCGGTGGCGACGACTTCCTCTAGCGACAACATCGCACCGGTCTCACAATCGATGGATAAATCACCTACAGCAAACTCATCGTCCGATGATACTGCCGCCATCGAACCTCTGTCGGTGGTAAACGGTAATGGTTCCTCGTCCACCGCTGTCGCAGATCCGGCTGATAACTCTACTCCCTCACCTAGAGCTTCACCTTCCAGACAATTGGAATATCAGGTGTGGTTAAGATTCCTTGTGAAATTTTCGATTGGAAATTGAAGATCAAGTTGACTATATGATTGACTCCTGTGATTTTTTAAATCTCTTAAATTTGTTAATTTGTTTGTTGATTTGTCTCAGCCGTCTTTGAGGAGCGAAGAATATCGACAACTGTTTCGTCTTCCTCCTGAAGAAGTAATTATCTCGACCTTTATCAGACACCATTTTTTTTCTTCATTTTCTTGGGTGTATTTCAGTGATTCTGTTCATGTTTTGCCCTAATAGAGAACAAATACGATAAAGAGGGAAGAAAGAAATCACTTTGCTTTAATTCTAACTTCTTTAAGCTTGTCTGCATGAGGCTTGTACTTGCATGTTTCCACCAAGATCCCAGCTTTACAATTCCATTTTTCTCTAAATTTCGGGGTAAATGGGCTTTAGAATGCGGCATTTCATGATCATGTTTGGAAATTAGGGGTTTCGAATTAAAATATTTTTCATCATCAAATTATTCAGGTAGGATGGAAAGTATGTTAGGATTCTTGGTACTTGTGATCCTGCTACTTGTTGCCATTGTTATTATTGCTTTTCTTGGATGCATCTTACAATACCCACTATAGGATGTCGTAGTAGTAGTACCTGGTTTTATTATTTGAAATTAAAGGTTCAGTAGATCTTTTTAGTAATATTGTATATATGATGACTATAGCCTCCCCATCCATTAGAATTTAGAAGGTGTACGCCTTATTATTCGTATGTTTATCAAGTATTGCAGATTTCCAGGTCCTAAGAGGTCTCTGATTTGTTGCTTGCTCTTTTTTGGGGCTGCATTGGCTTATGAGGAGGCTTTGTGCATTGCAGATAGTGAACTCCAATACAGTTCACAGTTGTTTAGTTTTGGAGACATTAATAGTTGATGTAAAATACAGGTAGAACCTTCCTCTACTGAAATAAACGGGATAGTTTTGACTGAATTAACAGGATAGTTTTATATGTATGTTTTGGTGATGCACTTAGAAACGTTTTTGGATCTTTAGTTCTGTAAATCCTAATATCTATTAGGATATGTAAGGTATTGATGTTTTCGATAGGATAATACTGCTATTATTAGTAGGGGTTTCATGGTTCTTGTTATCTTGTAGACTAGAATAGGTTCTCAATATATGTTGGTGAAGGAGGCAGGGTCAGGGTGCAAATAGAGGGGATTGGGGAGAGAGTTGTGCAGAGGTGTAATGGTGATGGTGAAATCTTCTTTGATTTGAAGTGGTTGGCGGGATATTGTTGGAGGTAAGTAAAAGATGGAAGTTGGTGAGTGTACTTCTGATGCATTGGGTAAGTGGCTTTAGGATTCTCAAATATGTGTTCGAGTCTATTTGTAACATGTAATCAGATTTTTTTTTAAGGAATGGCCTCTGATTGGGGCAAAAGAGATGTTCAGTTACATCTTGTCCAAACTTTTTGATGAGTGTTTGAAACTGAAGTTTGTAAAAGGAGCAGATGTCCCTCCCTTGAAAAAAGGAAATTAAAGAATAAGATGGTGCTAGGTGAGAAGAGAAGGTTACTGAAGTACAACAACACGTTCCATAATGAAAGCGAAGTGCATGGTTGAGCTAATGCTAAGTTTATCCTACCGTCCTTCAGTTTTTTATCCGAAGAAGTTAAATTTGTTGAAATTAGTGGCGACTTTGCAGGTATCAAAGTTTGTCTTACGGTTTTACTGTTTTCAAGAGGATAAGTTTCAAATACTCTACCGACATGTTCCATGCTAACATTTTGCAAACATCTTTGGCTTGATGTGACAAGGACATCATTATGCATGGAATACACTCTAGGGCACTAAACACCAAAAAGCTCATGGGAATCAAACACTAGCTTAAAGACTGATGGCGGGGAAAGTTTATATGGTAGCTTAAACTTGTTAGTAAGTTGTTGAGGTTTATATAAAATAACTAGAAATGAACGATGGGGATAGTGATGTCTACAAGGAAACAAAAACTAGGTTCACGAAAAGTGGAGGGAATACTTTGATAAGTTATTCAACGGAGATTGTCAAAGGAATATTGGAGAACTTGATGGATATGTTGCTAGCACAAATAATAGGTTCGCGTGTAGGACTACAGTTTTTTGGTGAATTATGCTTTATAAAAAGAAAAGTAGGTAAGGCTTAAGATTATTATAGGCTTATAGCTTGGAGATACCTTTGAGGTAGAGGTAAGGTTTGCCTACATCCTACCCTCCCCAGACCTACTCCGTGTGGGATTCCCTGGGTTTGTTTGGTTTGGTTTGGTTTCGATACCTTGGAGTAGTAACTGGTTGTCTAGGTATTTAGTGACATCCTTAAGACAATGGAAATGTATGTTCACTGGATGAAGATAACCTTGGCTCAATCTACAAAATCAGAGCTTCACTTAAAGGTGGAGAAAATGGAAGATGTATGAGAATGAGACTACACCTAGGGTCCACATCAAGTTCTTGTCTCTTAGAATAAGATGAAGATTCATTGTTCATACCCCGTGCCAATAATGTGGTTCTAGTTGGTCGTGCATGGAAAAAACCTAAAGTTGTCGGAGGAACACTTTATATATGACGGGTCTTAGGCTAAATTGAACTATGCCAAGATGAAGTGCTAATAGTGTTGATAGAAAAAAGGAAAACGTGGTGAACATGTTAGGACAAGAACTTTATAACATGGATATCTTTGGGTTGTCAAGCGATAAGGGCATGTTTATGAAGTTTTATAATCACTAGGAGTCTTGTGTGATCATAAGGTCCTATTGAAATTTGAAGGTGAAGGTAAGTTGTAGATGAGGCAACTTAGATTATCATGATTTACGGAGACAACATTGGCCATATAGCATGTACAAAAGATGACTATATCCAAAATGAGAATGAGAAGGTGCATGCACATATATAGAAGGATGTTTGTGTGGGTGGAAATAACTAAAAGAGATTTGAATGACTGTTTACACATCTAAAGAATTGGCTTTGGATGGGAGTGGAGGAGGATCCTATTCATGTCTTTGAGCCTTGATTGTTTCACCTAGCTTTTGTAATCTTTATAGGATTCATTTTTAGCCTACTCAAAACTAGTGTTAGATGCAAAGGTTTGTTTTTGTTGTTATTGTAGATTGTCAGGAACAGGCTTCACTAGAATATGTTGTTGATGCTGTTTTCAAAAACATCCATGTATCATCACGTTTGTGCTGCCAGTGTCTATGTAGCCTTTCACTTCGTCGTTAAACAGTGTGGCCTAAGAGCCCCTTATGACCCATTCTTCCATCAAACATGTAGAGGAAGGTAATGCCTTTTCTAATTGATTTGTAAAACGTGATGTGCTTTATGTTGACTGTAGCAATGGTCTGAAGTGTATGTTGATTAAAACTTGGATTTACTTGCTATTCTCTTCCTTTGTCGTATTCTTTGTATCGATCTTGAACATTTTGGCCCCATTTAATGGGGTTCTGGTTGATGAACGCTTTACCTGTGTCTAAGCATATGCCGCATTGTTGTTGGCCTAGCATGTAAGAACTTTTGGAGTAGGTTCACTCTCTTATTTATCTCTAAACTTTAAAATGCATAGTCTTTTCGCCATCTTTCTTTAACTTCTTTTTTTATTAATGTTAGGTCCTTGTTCAAGATTTCAATTGTGCATTGCAAGAGAATTTCATCCTTCAGGTTTGATTGGTCCCCTTTCATGTTAAATGTCGAGTTTCTAAATATTGTTCTTATCTTGATGTTCACTCCCATCATTCTATAATTTATTGCATGCATTGAGTTACCATGCAGCTTCTGCTATTTTTCGCTACTTTTTGGTAATAAATGATGACATATCAGCATATGTATGCTTATCACCATCAAGTGATGGCTTGAATGGTATCCGGGGCAGTTCCCTTGGTCATATACCTTGAAATTGCTATTTCAGATATCCCTTCCCCCTTCCCATTTTAAAAAACTTGCATGTATGTTAACATTTTTTTTGTTTCAATACTCTGTGTTGTAGGGTCATATGTACCTGTTCATTCGTCACATATGCTTTTACTCAAACCTATTTGGATTTGAGACAAAGGTATTTTTTTAAACTCAGGTTTGCTGTTTCCTTAATTTAGTTTTCATTGCATTGTATTACGGTTGGTCTGGATATGAAAATGTTGTTTTCGCTATCTTAATATTTACTTTTTCATCTAGTTTATTTCTGGTGTTTGTCCGTTTTTTCGGCCCTTGAGGAGTGCCATACTATCACTCAATTGAAGTATGTCTACATCTCAAGAATAATCAATTGTGTATGCTTATGCATGTAATTCAACTTACCTACCAAGTCACTAATCCATTGGGTAATTGCAAATGTAAGGGTGTTGTTCGTGAAAATGGAAATAACTACCCATACAGGGGGCAATTGTAATTTAAATGCATTCGTTTTGGGGCCTTGGGGGTCATTTGTGCCATGCACGATTGCTTGGTGCGGGTACATAGAAGTAAGTGTTTTACCGTATGATCCTTTCTTTCTTCTCGTGGTCAGCTAAATGTAACCAACATTCGCAGCCACATTTAGCCGTGGTGTACATACTGAGCGACATATGTTCTTCTTACTTGTCATCGAGACCCAAATGCTCCACCAGAGCCTCTATCTTTTAGTTGGTGCATCCAAACTACAATTGAAATAATGGGGGCTAGTTATGAGGTAACACTGTCATTTATGAGCCCGTCAAGTCTCCCACCAAACTCCAGAAAGGAGATATTATGGGCAACTGACCAAAATCTTTAATGCAACACAAACCAGATTAAATAGTGTCCTAAATTGGCAACTTTAATAAGCAGCTCAGAATGGGAAGTGGACTGTTTGTCACTGAGATCAAGCATGAAAACCGGCCTAGCCTATGTTGGCTGGAATGATACCTGATCTGGAGGTTTGAGGATTTTAAGTGTAGGATCTAACATATATGTCCTTCACTGCTATCTTGGGATTGCGATTGCACTTGGAATGTTACTTTACATGTGGTTTTTATCTGTTTCTGCCCTTCTGGGACCATTGGTGAAATAACCATCACACCCCTGTATCATTTCTTCAAGTCATTGCACTGGGGTTGTTATTTCAGTGTGCCATCAAATAAAGCACTTCCATAAAGCATTAACTTTGCTGCTGATGTACCTAAACAATTAATCACTTGCAGTAGTAAATAACCTTCTCACTCTTTATCATTTACTATTAAGTTTGGTTATCCTATTTGCTATCTTGAATCTCTACGTCAAACCAATAACTCATTCACCATCCACCGATGACAGTAGCACATCATATTTTTTAACCCCTGTAAGAAACATCAAGATTGTGTGAAAACCTAAATTGATCATTTTTTCGTTTGGTACTCAAATGTGATTAGTCCGTCTTCCTCTATTTCTCATTAGCTACTCAGTTGTATACCGAGTGCATGTGCAGTAGAAGTGAAGAAAGAGAAGGACGGAGTTGAGTATCTTCTTTGAATGTGTGATGAGGTGAGGTGCTGTTTTGGAGCAGCTGTAAAAGTTCTAATGAGGGTTGACAACGGCACTGCTATGCTGGTTGGTCTTATTATTAAATAATTTGAAGTTTGTGCATGCTAAATGCCCGGGATGAGTACAGGTGACGCAGTGTAGGTGATGCCCGAGAGACTGCTGGAATAGCACACTGAACAGGATCATTTGAATGAATAGTTGAGTGCAAGAGCTAGGACAAACTAATGGAGAGAGGACAAAGGCTGCTTAAAGCACCCGGTATTCTCTAGAGAAAATTTGTGCCGATGAGCTGTGAAATTGGTAATTTGAATACTCGAAAATGAATAATCATATTTGGTGTTCATAAAGCATGACTAAAGATGGGCCAGGCATATGAGTCTTCTATTAAGCTGATTACTCTGGCATGTGGTATGATCTGGTATGTTGATGCCACAATATCTCTTTTTCTCATATTGAGGTCACACCTGCAAGAAGCAGATAACAAAACATCCACCCAGTACAAAAGCTCTTAATGAACCCATCAAGGGAACTGCCTTGTTTGATCCGTAGGCCCGACAATGTTCTCATTGGGGTACCATAGTTGCAGATGCAGTTAGATATATCAAAGGAGGATATATGCTAGATTGTCATGGTGGTGTTGCTTTGTTAACCCTTAAAAAGGGTATAAAGCTAGAAAAAAGACGCTGACTTACAATTGACATTGATTCCTAGCATAAGAGAAATTATGGTTGGTCTACCGGATGGAGAGTATTAGTTGGTGGTGCTGGAGGGGTCCCATTGGTTGTTGGTGCTGGTATAGTTTGGGGTAGTATTATGGTGTACTTAGAATTCTCTCGTTGATAGATGCTTGTTTTGGTTTTGAGCATTAGGTCACATCATTAAGATCTTGGCGATGATCCTTAGTGTGGTATACACAGCTTTTATCTTTTGGGGTTTGTTTCTTGCTTGAAAATGGGATTTGCTTCCTTGTTTCTGTTTCTTCTTTTTCTTGGCAAGTCCATACCAGAGGTTCACCCTTTTGTTTTGACATGCATTTTCATGAAAGGTCTTTAAGGACAACTTATGAAATTGCGCCTTCTGTTTTGGGGTTTTAATCAAATTTTCATCAACTGTATTGAGATGTTGCAAGCATTCTCAATAACGTGGGAATTTATGTAAACATGCTTTTGAGCATCAAAAGAGTTTGTATACTTCTATACTGTTTACTCTGGAAGAAAATCTTGAGTCTCCAGATATCACTTCTCTTGTAAGTTCATTAGTTACAAGAGCTCTCCAATGTGAGATCAAGGAATGGCTTTTATTTTACCATTACCACTATTGGTCTCAATGTTTTCTTTGAATACGTAGGAAACCACACCCGAGGGGTGAAACTTTCCCTCCCTATTAATTCAACAAGTGTGGAATTTCAATTTAGTAACTTTAGGTATCCTAAGCAAGTCTTGAATAGCTGAGCAAGCCAATCTGGGTTTATATTGTTGCTGTTAATTTATAGCTGATAGTGAAAGTTTTTCTGAAGTGATCCTAAGTTTGTACTTGGGAGAGCTAACAAAAACAACTATGAGAGCTTATAGCATAGACTGAAAACTGCTTTCCTGTAAGATTATTATTACCTCCATCATTTTTGTAACTGTATCAATTTGCTCCTGCTGCTATTATGCTGGGGTTTTCTCKTCTTAAGAGCTATAATTTGAAACTGGTGATGAACTAATTTTGGTTGATGTATACCTACAAGCTTGCACTTTAAATTATTTTAGGGGGGGGGGGGGAGTGAGTCATTTTGTTAGATATGTAAATAACTTTATGAAATCAGCTATCTTTCTTCGTTATGACTCACTTTCCTACTTCATGATGTTAATTAATTGGAATGTTGGTTATTGATTTGCAGAAAATAATTCCTTTTGATGAAGTTACCTTGGTCAAAAGGGCAAAGACTGCAGGAATATTCCCTACTGCCATAGAATTAGTAGCTTCAGATAAAAAGGTATTGTTAATCTTTCTCTACTGTTTATGTTAATAGAAGCAATGTGACTTTGTATTGTTAGGGCTCTTTCTGGAAAAATAACATAAGCTACATTTCTGCTTTTGTGTAGAGATTTGGTTTTGACATCTTAGCTTGCCTTTATTCTGCAGTACTTTTTTACGTCGTTCTTATCGCGTGATGAGGCCTTTAAGCTTATTAACGATGGTTGGTTGGAACATGGGAATGGAAATAAAGCTATCTCCGACCAGCAGGTTCATACATCTTTAACACAGCTTACGAATGGTGATAAATTGATAATTGTATTTGATACATTTTGGTTCTCACTACTGCTTATCTTCATCCTCTTGCTTGTAAAAGATTATGTTTAGTTTTGGATCTTGAAGGACTTGTCAGTTCAAACTGTTCCTGTTTTTTCTTTATCTTCAATTTATTGTTTTTCTTCAATATGTCCGCAATGTGGTGCACTAGACAGCTTTTTGGTCCCTGTCAAGCTCATTAATTTACTGACAGTGAGTGTCAGATGAATAATGTTGATTTTTGAGTGCCAAGTGGGTTGCATTTAAAGTTGTATAAAAACTATCTTCTTTCAAGCTAAAATCTTGCCATAAAATCAAGCTACAAGAATATGATAAGAAAAACATCCCCCAGTTACCCAACGAATAATATTTAAATCAAATTTGGGATTGATAAGTGTTGGGTTGAACTTCCAAAATAACAAGTGGACTTTTTCCTGAGACAGAGAGAGTATTAAGCCAACTGTTTGTCTTGTGCAACTTCAATGCAAGGCAGTGAAGTTATTGTTTTAGATGCCATGTTTAGTCCATATAAATAGATTAGTTTCTGTAAATGAAATATTCTTTTATGTCAGCGCATGTTCTCTCCATATTAGGAAAAATTAATATTTACTGAAGCTGGTGAATCTCCTTCCTTATTTTATTGATTGCAGGACTCAAGATCTGAGTTGATTGATGAAGAGCCTGAAATTGTTGTGGCTGAAGATTCAGATGAAGCCAGACCACTTGGGGATAATCTAGAAACCACAAACAGGTATGTTCCTGAAAAGGAACAATGATTTTTTTTTCCATTTAATAGTTATGATTGGCTGACCACGTGTGAACAGAAACACCAGTGACTATGTATCAGAAGATCCCAACGCTTCACTTGACATTGAAGCTGAAGTGTCATTGACGTCTTCCAGCGTGCAAGATGCTGTACAGGATACCGTTGTTCAAAATACTGATTGTTCATCTTCTGGGAAATCTTTGGCATGGGAGATTCAGGATGCTGATGCACCAGAGGGTTAGTTCTTTATGGATGTTTTACGAGTTATGCTTGTCAACAATTAAAGTCTCTGAGATTAGGCATGTTTATGATACTTCATTTTTTAGGTGTGCACAAAGTTCAACTTTAGAAATTTTTTGGTTATCAAATTGTTCATTAGTAGATACCTGTTCAACTTTATGGTCAATCTTTAATGCTAGAATAGTATTAATAACAACCAACCTCCAGAATTCCTTTAATTCAGTGATCTACCAGGAGAACGATCAGAAACCCTATTTAATAGTGTAAGTTTAAGTTGTTGGGTTTTCTCCTAGAATCTGCCGTGGATGTTACGCATATTAGAAACTATAAATTTGTCCCATTAAATTATGTTATTATGATGTAGTCTGTACTTGGTGGTTTTTGACTGTTTGCAAATTTGCATCCTTGAAGAGTGGAAGGAGCCACATAAATTTCTTGTGTTTTCTCTATACATTTACGTCCATCAATGGAAGTTCATATTGTTTTTCAATGAATACTGTATCATGTCTCTGATCATAGTGCATATTATTTGGAAATCTGTCCCTATATTTCCACCGCCACAAAGAAGGTAATCCTTTGGTCCAAGTATACTATCTAACCTTTCAATATAATCTCTTTTTGTCTGTGCAGTCCCTGAGGGCTATACACTGGCTGCAGAATCTCCATTTCCGGTAGTATTTTTGGCTTTTAAGAATAATGGCTACAATTTCTCATGTTTGCGTGCACTAGAAAAATGTCTGATTACTTGTATACGTTATGCAGATAAAGGTGGATGAGTTCTTTCGTCTCTTTTACTCAGATGATGCCCTCCCTTTTCTTGAATCATATCACAAAAAATGTGGAGATAAAGGTGCCTGGGGGTGGATATCATGAAATTGATATTAACATTATTGTGAAACTTACAATGGATTTACTTCTATTTCTTATTTTCTCTCCAGATCTCAAGTGTACGTCATGGAAACCCCATGACCAACTTGGTTATGCTCGTGAAGTATCGTTTCAGCATCCAATCAAAATTTATTTTGGTATGAGTTGTCATAGTAGTATGTGTAATTGGCTTGTATTTCTGTACCGTTATTAAGCTTTTATTGTTGCAGTTTTAATGTTCTATCTTTTGTTTAGGTGCAAGATTCGGTTCTTGCAACGAAGTACAGAACTTTCGAGTTTACAGAAACAGGTAAACTACATTTCTCAGGAGGGTGATTCTTCCAAATATGGATTGAATTTTTGTTCAATGCTCTTCTTCTGTTAATTTTAGTACTTGGAACAAATTTAATGTTCTTGGCACTACTGTGATCTTGTCGATATCAAAACAAAACATGGTTACCTTTAATAAGTTCTTTTAAACATCATGCAGAGAAAAATTCCAGTTTCAAGTTGATGATCATTAATCTGATATGACTCTATTATTGCATCTTTTATGTAAACTACTCAAAGGCTGTGTGGATTACACTTGTCTGTTGCCTGACATTTTTATTTACGGTTTTGTCCATCATGTTAATTGTTTTCCAACTTCGGTTTGTGCTAGTCATTTGGTTCTGAAGACATCACAAGTGATCAATGATGTACCCTATGGAGACTACTTTGCCGTGGAGGTATGAGTTACATATATCATATATTTGATCTAAATAGATCTGATGCTCTGAATTTTGATTAGTAGTTTCTTAGACATATGCTTGTATGATGACCCAGTATTGTTATGCAAAAGTAAAAGAAGTGCAATCCTTTGGCTTTGATGCTTATACGTCGACTGGATCGAAATTTGATGCTACTCAATTTTAGTGTGGTTGAAAGCTCAATATACTTTTTTCTGAGTGCAGTGATCATTGACATAGCCCTGTCTTGAACGCAAACCTATGTTTCTTGGTTCATTTAAACCTTATAGTTGAAGTGCGCCTGCCACATTGATATATGATCCACTGATAAGTCACTTGATCCTGAGAAATTGTGAAGATTTGTCGTTTTTGTTGTTAATAATCTTATTTCTTTTTATTACCATTACTTATTATTGGCAAAGTGAGGGAACAAAGTCAGTAGTTGCTGCATTGGATGTTTGGTAAAAGAAACTATTAGTTTAAGTGGTGGAGGAGGTTTTAGGGTCTACGTGTGATGAAGAGTGAGGTAAACGTTTATGTCTCTAGGTCTCTATACTTCTTATTTGTTCCGTCCCATGACATCAGATCAAAATGTCACAATTGGAATTTTCTCAAGTTTTAGCTGAGTTAATGACTGGATAGTAACAATGAGGTAGCATAGCTAAGAAAAGGAACATAAACCAAGGGCCTGCTTGTTAGCAGCTTAATGGGACTCACAGCTTATTTGGTCAGCTATACATGACTGTTTGGTAGTGGCTAAGCTTCTAGGGGAGCTATATGCAGAAAACCAAGTTTTTTCCGAACAGACCCTGCCAATTAAAAACACGCTCCTTCCGTCTATGAAAAAACCCTCCCAATCTATAGAGACCGATTAATCCACAGAGACAACTTCATCTATACAGGACTTAATGGAAAAACAACCAAACTGCCCCCAAGACTTTATCTCAAGTTATTAGATGCTTTTTTAGTATTGTCTTTTTGGCTCTATGAAGTACTCAAATTTGGCACTAATACAGCGAATCAGGCATTCTTGAAGAATCCTGTATGATTGTATTCTTCTTCAAGCTGCTAATGGAGTGGAGTTCCTTGTGTTGTCACTTTTGAGTTTCTTTTGCCATTGTTTCTTTTCTAATAAATACTTCGCTGTAGAGCCTACGCTTGCAGGACATTCTTCTTTTACGTACAGAGAACTGTATACCACATGTTATATGGATGTTTAAGTAAGATGGAATTTGATTATTTTTCTTTGATACTAATACAGGGGCTATGGGATGTGGTAGCGGATGCAAATGATGGTTGCACATTAAGGGTATACGTCAATGTTGCATTCTCCAAGAAAACCATGTGGAAAGGTTTACATGCTTATTTTACTTAGTCTGTTCTTGTTATTGTTTCATCGTGAAAACTACAGTTGAACACCACCCACTAGACTCGTCTTGAGTGCCACTTCTTGAGTTGATAAAAACTTGATTTTGTATCTAACAAAAACAATAAAAATCCAAAGCTTGAATTAGTTTGCATGGTTTTAGGATCAGATTCCTGGTAAGTCGCTGTCTGAACATAATCTTTGTTATGGCTGACCACAGTTACTCCTTAGATGGCTTAAAGTATCTCTTTTTTTTATATAGAGAGATCTGGCATGTGAATCTAGGAAGACCACACGTTAGAAAACCATAATGCTCGATTATACTTTGCAACCGGCAAAAGGAGATGTTATGAAGGAAAGGTTCATCTTTTGATTTAAGATAACCTCCTTCCTACTGTTTTAGGGGTCGTTATGGATCCATAGTTTGAAGAAGGGAAAATTGCACCAAAATGGAACCAACTTTCACCTAATTCCTATTTTAGGGAACCAACTTTCAAAATCGTCTTTTGGGGAACCAACTTGCACCTGATTTCTATTTTGAGGAACCAACTTTCAAAATCGTCATTTTGGGGAACCAACTT